TAGCAAAATTATGCTACCTATTGTAAATCATTTTGCCAACTTATTTGGATTTTTAACCTCTAGCAATAACAGATTATTTTGATAAATTATTCATATTTCTGCATTGTGCGCTTTTTGCAATTTACATATCTGGCTGCAAATAGGCCCTTCTTTCAGGCTTCACTCCTCTTGGTCACACAGGATGGCCAAAGGCTGCTTCATGATTAATTTCATCTCAATAGGGTAATTATCATACTGAAATGAAGCAATGCCCCTGAAATATGCTTTCCTAGAGCTGTAAGTACAAGAGGCTTAACCTAAGACCTTTCAAGTATGTGGTAACTTTTAGCTTCAATGTTAACCTTTCTCTGTTTTGGGACTATTTGTATCTAAAAATAACACTGGATTTTATAGGAATAAAAAACAATAATTTAGAATTTGATTTAGCAGGTCATTGGATTGCAAGATAATCTGTCATTAGTTTCTACTATCTTATGCAAAAAATAAAAGATGTGTGTATATTGAGGGGTCGAAGTTTTATATTGCTGGGTCAAAGTTTAGCTGCTGAATCAGTAAATATGAATTTTTCTCCTGGCCTGTGGAAAAGCCATTTAACTTCTCTATATTTAGTTTTCTTGCCTAAGAAAATAAGAACAGCCTAAGTTCCTTGTAATATTGATGAAGCAGCAAGATATGGCTTTAAAGCTGTTTTTGTTTCTTTGGAAAATTAACAAAAGAAATTTGATTCATAATTTGAACCCGAAAAATCGTTTATCTCGAACATGCTCTTAAATAGAATTCCCATATTTTCATTTTTTGTTGTTTGTTTTCCCTCCTATTCTTTTACCAAAATCCATGTGATTTAATTAAAAATTTGCAAATTTGTCTGAATTAGTTAATTTTGCAAAATTCCCAACTGCAGTGTGGGTTACCATATATTCTAATAAAAATCTAGTTCTAAAATTTAAAGTTAATACACTTTCTGAATAACACATAATCAGTGATCAAAGAGAAAAAGAGATTTTGCATCATCCTAAAAGTGACATAGATCTCCGAACTTAACTTTTCATTTCAAAGCAGTCAATTGGATTCTTTTTTAATAATTAGATTTTCTGTGCCATTTCTCACATGTTTCATAGAGACAATTTTTCTAGCAGCTTGTTGGCTCTGGAGTTATAAAGTTGACTATGTGACAATCAATCAGTGATCTCAGGGAATTTATAGGGTGGTAGGAACGGAAGTTGTACCAGTAAATAATTATATGATTTCACATTGAAATTGAAATAGAAATCTGTACTGTGGAGGTCAGTGGGCTGAGTATTGTCAATGACCAGGATAAAGTCTGTGTGGTATTCGCCCACTCTCTGCTTTACCACCTGCTGCTACCCATTCTCCTGCCTGTATCAGTTCTTCTCTATAATGGCTAGCCATTTCACTACAGCTGGGGGGAATCTTTCTTATTTGTTTTGTTGTTGTTATAATTAAGGGACTGATGAGTTATCCAGGTATTTGAATAACATTATTCTCTCTTTTGAAGTAATAATTGACCTCTACTAACTTACTCTAAAATTAAAATATAATGAATGCACTGCTTTTTTCTTTTCAGAGATGGGAGAATGCTCAAAAAATTTTAAAATGTGGGTAGGATTCTCAAAAATACTATTATTCTTTACCTGCTGTCTGTTATCCAAAGACCAATTCTGGAAGCTGACAGTGTAGCAGTCCATTTGCTACTAAAGTTATGCAAAATCTATTTTTGAAAATGTAATGGATTTGCACTTTACATTAAATGAAGTCAAAATATAAACAGATTCCTAGAAATGAAAAGTTAATCATATTAAACTAATATTTAAGTCTGCATACAAAAATTGACTCCTTTAACGAAATGTTTGCAGACTAATAATATCTTTTCAGTTTTGTAAATCAGGTTGTTCCATGTCTGTGGAATCAGAAGACATTGAAACATTTGGTTCATCTGATTCATGACAATTTGTTTATATAAATACAACATGTGTCAGGGATCTGTAACTACTAACTTCTCTGATAATTTTCTACTAAAACACCCCCAAGTGAATTGTGCTGACATTTTAATCTAGGTCCATCCTGTCTCTGATTTAAAAGTCCAAAATATTATTTATCAATTTCAGAATTACTATAATCGTTGAATATTTTTATGGTCATCTGTGTTTTATTTAAATAATTGTACTTTATTTAAAAAAACATAGCTATAAACAAAAACTATGACAAGATAAAATCATTTGATATAATGAAATTTTCATTAGAATATGTGTAGAGAAGGTAGTACACATGAAATACTGTAGTAGGTGTTGGAAACAATGGGTTCATTACCTGTCTTCCTTATTTTTGTACAGATTTAGGATTTTCCCTAACAAAAATCTAGTTTCTTTTCTAGTTGGCAGCAATCAAAAGGAGACAGAAAAATTATTTATAACAAAAATTTGTCTGGATTAATGTGTTTTCAGTTGCACAATGTTGTGCAGCCTTCTCATGTTGTACATCTATGGACTCAGGGTCGATTCTTCCCTAATGTCACGCAATTTTGAAAATAGAAATGTGGTGGAAAAACAGATATCAAATCTGATCGTCTTTGTATGTGTCCTCAACAGTTTCAAGGATGATATTGTTGTTGGTTGGGTGAAAAGGCATTTGGTTTTAAACTGTTAATTTCTGTTGAGATACACATCATGTAGTAGTTTGTGAACTGATATTTTAGATTGGTGCAAACGCAATTGAGGTTGGTGCAACTGCAATTGCACTTGCTCCAACTTAATAAATTAACTTTAAAGCTTAAAATCAGAGAGGAAGTTATGAAGAAAACACATGATACTCTGCAATCCTGAGACTTACCTCCATTAAAATCATTCTTTTTCAGGTAGGCATTGTAGAATGACCTCTTTAAAATACACTTTTACCTGGAAACAGTACCTTCAATGCATCAGTATGCATCTGTGGACTGTTTGGTTTGGCATGTGTTGCGGGGTGGGACAGTGAGGTGCAGGGAAGACTTAGGCAGGGAACTAAGGCTTGGTAGAAAGAAGAGTAATAAGTAAGGAACCCTAAAACATGCCCAGTCAATGTTCACACAGCCAAACTGAGGACAGGCTATGGTTGTTAAAGGGGTAAACCCCAGCCTGTTGGGACACTCAAATGGGAAAAGCTCAGCAGTCAGGGACATGTTTGTGAACCTGACCATGGAGGGAGAAAGCAGCTAACCGATAAGAGAAACCGATAAGGCCCAGCAAAAGCCCTACATAATTTGCAGTTGTTTGTGACCTCCATGACCTAATAGAATCTTAGGTGTGATGGGTTGTTTAAAATCAGTGATTTAAGAGGATATAAAGAAAAAGGAGAAGATAGGAGGAAAATTGACTGAAATTTTTTGCAAATATTTCTACAAATTCTAAGGTACCTTACCTACTAATATTTTAAAATATTTTTATTTAAAATTTAGTTACAAACTACTGTATAATTCTCTGATATGTTGAGATCTCCAATAAGTAAATCATCTAAGCAGAATGGTGTTCTTCTGGTGAATTTTTGAGCACATTATTTTCTTCCTTTCATCCATTTGTTTTAGTCAACAATTGTTTAATACTTGTCTACTAAATGTCAGTCATATATTATTACTAATTGAAACCATCTAGTCTAGATTTGACAAAGATGGCATTAGCATGCATGTTGGCATGGAGTTTTCCTCCAGAAAAAATAATTAATTATGAAAGTATCAACGGTAAATTGAATTCAGTTTTGGCAAAATATATTTTGTCTGAAGAAATAGCTACAGTAATTAGAATTATTTATGGATCAAATAATACTTCTTTTATATAGCAACAAATAAAAATTAGCATTTTTATGATCATGGTAATATATAAATGAATAAATTTTACCAACAAGAGATAAAGCATGAATTAGAAATCCAATCTCTTTTGTTTCACCCAAATCATAGAATCTTTGCTTATGATTCTTTGCCAAATTATTCTCATGCAACTTGTCATTTTATAACTCTAACTAGTATTACAACATTAAACAAGTTGTAATCAATATTTGACAATAATTAAATGAAAGATTGGATATATATGTGAATCAACTACTAAATATACACCTAACTTCATGTCCACACATAATTATTCCTAAACATGTGATGGATGGATGACATGTTTAGGAATGTCATCCTAAACAAATGACCCAATCTTACTTTCCATTTTTACATAATAATTCAATTATTGAAAACAGCAAAGACAGCCACAAACCATACTAAGTCAAATGTGAAGTGAGCCATTAGTTTTTGAAAATTTTATTTACATATTATTTCCCATTCTGATTAAATATATTTACATGTATCATATAAGTTTTTTAAATAAATCTTGTTTCTTTAAAGCAAAATTTCTAAACAAAGAAGGAAAATATAGCAAACAAAATAAAACAAAACCTAGAACAAAAGGGAAGAAAGATTAGAAATGAAGCTCGCTCATTCTCTCACAAATGTTGTGCCCAAGACCATACAAATATTGATTGATTGGTGCCACTGCAATTTAGGGAAGGGCATTTTATAGTCAAAGGCTTGAACTTGAGATTGGTTGTTCCAGGCTTTATTGTCACATTAGTCACTAAGGGACCTTCAGTAAGTCATATTATTTGGTTCTACGTGTACCGTCAATTTCAAAGGGCTGGTGATACAGATACCATTTACACAGAATTCTGAGATTTCAAATTCAGTTGCTCAACAAATGCAAAGTGATATTCTGTGGCCAGTTAACAGTGAGACAAAACAGTTTTTGGAATCTTTATCTTATGTTTTAAATTACTTCGGTCAAATTTTTATTTCAGTAAACTCCATTCTCAGCTATTCCCCTAGCAGCTATTTATTTCTTAACAAAAATTCTGCTTGTCTAAGGCAACACTTTTTATGCTCATTTGTGTTTGTGCTCCCTGGCCCCTTTTTTATTTATGTATTTTTCCAAAATGATACTTCATAGTAATTTATGTTTTTTCATTCTAAGAGCCAGGAAAAGCTCCTGCAACAAAACAAGGGACGATGAAAATTACAGCACAAGGTAAGCAATAAAACACTTTAAAAGGTATTGCCTTTAAAAAAAAAAAAAAAAAAAAAAAAAAAAAAAAAAAAAAAAAAAAAAAAAAAAAAAAAAAAAAAAAAAAAAAAAAAAAAAAAAAAAAACATGTATAGCACGTTATTGACAAAAGCCAAAGCTGTTTATTGCAGAATAGCACCATCTGCTGGGATATTGCAAAAACATATTGTTGCATGAAAATTCACAGTTCAAGTATTTATTTAGTAATTGGAGCAAGCATGACTGAGAGTAATGCCAGTTTTCAGAGGAACTGTTTAAGGACCAAAGAACTAGTCTTGGCTCCAAGTTTCAGTATTTAAGCTTTATATATATTTCTAAAAATAAGCCATAGATGTATATAAAGAAATACAGATACAGATATAAAATAATATATACTTTCCTATTATTTTCAGGATACCTTGTAATTTATGTCACATGAAAAAATCAGAATTTCATTAAGTCAGTATTACTTCATAAACATCAAAACTGTAAAAATTGGGTTCCAGATATGGCTACAAAATAATTATCCTATTTTTATGAGCCATCTAAGACAATTAGTTTCATCATTTATGAATATCTTCGGGATATCAAAAGCGATTTCTTCTCAAACCATGAGGAGCAATTTGATGAAAGCATAGGGGAAGGGCACAAATATGCTCTTATTTTGACATTAATAATCTGGGAAAACTTTATGGAACACACTTAGAAAATAAAAGATAAAATATTTACTGGAGAATATCTTTATCATCTCTTCTATGCTACATTATATAATACCAAGCAATAAAGGAGATACACACAGGTGATAGTACAATTTTGGGGGGTAGAAGGCTCTCATAGCAAACTCCTTAGCATATCACATGATGGATGACCAAATGCATTACATCTGCACAAGTTTTCCTCTTGTATTTAATCTTGTACCCAACTACATGCAGAATCATCCCCAAAATATTGGTAACATGGGTTTTTTTAAATGCCATTTGACTCAACAATGTTGTTGTTTGTGAGCAATATAAGTTAGAATGGTTAAAGGCCATGAAACAAGTTTTTTAAAAAAGTTTAAAACAAGTTTAAAAAAACCTTGTTTTTCTTTAGGAAAGTTCTGATAAGGAATATAGTAAATATTATGAAAGGTAGAAAGGTAGGACAAATATTATTACCTTTGATTTTTTAATACATAAAAATGCAGGTTAGGGTGAGTTCCATAAGCAAATGCTTACCAGTTTAAGGAATCATTGCTATTAGTGTATATATGTTCTCCTAAAAAAACACAATCACTTTAGGCTCCTTCTGTTTGACTGAGACTTCTGAGGATCATAGTGTAGATGTGGAGCTATAACTTGAGGCAGAAATTTCTGTTAGTTACTTCAGCCTCATGTTAGAGGTGTCAAGAGGAGGAAAATGAAGAGGTATCTGAAAACTTGCTTCATATTTGAGCTTGAGGCGCTGGGCTTTTTAAACTACATTTAACCATTCAAGATTTAAACTACAATGGACAAGGCAACCTCAGAACTTATTCTTTTAGAATAAAAGATTTATTGTTGAGTAAGTAGTAACCTAGAGTTTCAAAGTCTTGTTAGAATTATCCTTGGAAGGAAATTGGATGAAAGGATTGATGAAGCACAGTGAACAAGGCAAGAGTGAGGTATTCTGTGTATGCTTTTACTAAAATAAAAATGACACACCAATGCAGGGACATACCAAAGCGGAATTGCGTATTGTTCACATCACTGCAAATCCTCCATAGACCTTTCTTACATATGCTTATTTTAACACCACAGGCATATAATTAAATATATAATTAAATTATGCATACAAATAATTAATATTTGCAAGGACTTCATGTGAAGACAAAACTTAAACAAAATTGGCAATAATCCTATTTTTGAACTATAAAGTGACAAAACTGATCATGATGTTTGTGGCATGGTAAAAGGCTAGATTAGATCTGTCCGTTTATTTATTTTTAACTTTTACAACAAAGGACATATTAAAAATCTGCTTTTTCATATATATGTATGTATATATGTTCATATTTATTTATAACTATTATTAAGATTTAGTATATATTATTTGGAATTTTAAAATAATTTAAGGAAATTATTTCAACACCTTTTTGAGGCACTGAGAAGACTACAAAATAAATATCTCTCTACTGTAGGAAATTCCAGTTTGGAGATCTAAGAAATTTAGGTAAATATAAGAAGTAAACAATAACTATGAAAGGCTTTTGTTTCTATTAAGACGTGAGACAATAACCTCAACTAGGATGGTGGCAATGACATAAGAAAAAACTGCAAATGTCATTCACATTTTGAAGAATTAATGTTTAATAGAATATATGAAAAGAAACAAAGGAAAGAATAAAAATGATACTGAGCTTTGGAACCTGGGAAATTAGAAGATGGTAATTTTCACAAATAATAAGTTTCAAGGGAAGAAACTAGCTGAAAAGAAAAGATTATTTACATTAACACTCTTCAGAGAGTTAATGTTGATTGTTCTCTTCAGAAGGAGAACAATCAGGCAATAATTTTTTTGTAGCCAGTTAGAATTTAGATGGGTGATCAATCTAGTTCATAGGTGTTACATAAAAAAATTGTTGGAAGAAATTGAATATAGACCCAAATTGGAAAGGAAGAGAGAGAGAGTTAAGGAATTATTTTTAATCAGTTAGGTGCAATGGCGAGGTAGACAACTAATGATATTAAATGCCAAAGATAGGACACATGCCATGATGGAACTCGGCTTAAAAGATGGGGTCATATGCATTCTGTGTTAGTGTATTTCCAAGCTTTTTCTTCCAGAAAAAAACATTAAAGCAAACATTAACAATCTACTGGATACTTTAGGAAGGATATGGAAGTAGAGCAACAACAACAAAAACTAAAATATTAGCCATTGCAGTCTTTTTACAATGTGAAAATCAAGAATCCAATTATTGAGAACCGGGTCTACTCAGTAAATTCAAGAGTCATCCAATCCCATAACACAGTTAAGTAGAAACAGGTCTGCTCGGTAAATTCAAGAGTCATCCAATCCCATAACACAGTTAAGGCCAGCCTGGTGCGGTGGCTCATGACTGTAATCCCAGCACTTTGGGAGGCTGAGGCTGGCGGATCACAAGGTCAAGAGATCGAGTCCATCCTGCCAACGTGGTGAAACCCCATGTCTACTAAAAATACAAAAATTATCTGGGCGTGGTGGCACGCACCTGTAATCCCAGCTACTCGGGAACCTGAGGCAGGAGAGTTGCTTGAACCCGGGAGGCGGAGGTTGCAGTGAGCCAGTGAGCCAAGATCGCGCCACTGTACTCCAGCCTGGCACCTGGCAACAGAACAAGACTGTGTCTCAAAAAAAAAAAAAAAGAGTCAGGCAACCTGAATTGAGGTCCAGCAGTGAGACACATAGAACACAAGCTACAAAACCATTCTAGAAACAATTGAAACTCAGGACCTTGGCTTTGATTAGCTTTTGGGCCTGGAATCCAGCTTGAGGGATCACATGGCTCTCCAGCTGGCAAAAAATAAAAGCCAGGCACCTTCAAGGAACCCAGGTCAGCAAGAGAAACTAGAATCAGTTATGATGGAATAGGTAGACTCCTTCATTCAGCTATTTCCATTGTCACTGTAGACTGGAAACTGAAACTATCACATATATAAGAATGGGAAAAAAGAAGATGCATTTGCATACATGCATGCTTGCATCTCTACATGCATACGTACTCATCGTCTTTCTTGTATAATTTTAGAAATCAAAAAATTTGTAATTTAGGGGATTTTGCTAATTCTTGAAGAGATTTAAATTTCAGAGGATTTCTTGTCTGTAAAATTTATAAGAAACTATGGTTTTGCTAAATGTATTCACTCACATTCTCAGCCCTCTTTCTGGCATTGGTCAGTGCCTTCATCATGTTGCCCTTTGGACATGTGTTTATGGTTAAGTTGATGGAATTTCGAGTTTAGAACAAGTCATTGACTAGAACCCCTTCCAGGGGGTAATTTTGGGTTGTTTTATTTTGTCTCTCTTTAAAGAGTTCACCACGCTCATCCATCCAAATTGTTATTGGATGATTTTGAAAATTATAAAATGTTTGAAGGAAATTCTTATTTGCAATGTAAAGAATCCATAATATACAAGTCTATTGAGTCAAACTCACAGACTTACTGAATTTAAACCTCATGGTTTTGAAATTCATCAGGCCACATCCATATCCTTTAATTCATTTTAGTTGTTATCTTTATTATTATCCTTATATCATTGGAATAAACAATATCTTAACTTAAAAACATTATAAATATAAATCCCAATTTCTTAACTTAAAAGTATAAGTATAAATTGGCTATACATTTTGTGTATTATTAGTTAAAACTACATTAAAAAGAAACAAATGTCCCAAAGTAGAATTAAGTTATTTGTAAATTCACTTACTACAAAAGTAATAGTACATCAATAAAAGTTAGAAAATAGAGAAAAATAACTTGTAGTCAATTAAAGTACGTTTTCTTTCTGTTTTTTATTTTTGATTTTTAGAGCCAATTATGCTGCTTAGACTCTGCAAATTAATTTAATGTTTCTGAGGCTTATTTTTCTGCTCTGAGCTACCTTTTTTTCACAAGGTCATGATGAAGACCCAATAAGAGGATGTACCTGAAAGAGCTTTGGCAATTGTAGCAGAGAGCAAATGTCTGCGGCAGTTCTGGCTGTTGTTTCTAAGTGATCCCCAACATTCTATCCCACTGAGGCCGGGTTACTGTATGGGAATGTGCACAATCTCAAATTCAACTAATGTGGCCTAAGACATCTCTGAATGGTCTTGGCTCCTGGATGAACATTACACAGAACCGAGTGTCATACTGCTTGGATCAATTCTAGGCCTGTTGAGCACCTCTGCCAAATATTTCTGCTAATACCCATAAGCAACAACATGGATCCAGACTTAGATTCATGGTTCAGAATTAGATAAATATCACCACAGAGAAAACTAGAATTCAAAGATGATTAAAGTATTCTGTACCTTTTTCTCTAAGGAGAATATTTATCTTCCCTTCCTAAAATTGAGAATTTTATACATGGTTATTATAAATGTAAATGTAGACTGCAGATTGGTATATAATTCTTCAGTAGCTAGGCATAGATAATGGAATATCTATGGAATAGATATCTATCATAGATATCACTTCACTTTTTTTTATTAATCCAGTCATAACCCGTATTTTATGATCTTCTACAAGAGATTGTGATTTCCTCAGATATAACAATTTAAAATCTAGAATGAATTTACACTAAACATATACTTATAAATTTGACCTCTTGTCTATGTAACTTAATATATTTTTATTTTTATTTTGCTGATGCTTATTTCTGTTTTTAAAAATTCTTATGTGAAATAATATTTTCTGCTTATACTCTTATCACAGATTTGGATGAATTAACTAGTCTGTAGGTGACCACTGAATTTATGAATGCATGGAATACATTCTCATATTCTGGGGAATATTCTGAAGAATGGTCATTTCATATGTCTTAACGCTATTTTCATTATTTCAGCAGAAACTAAAAAGGATGAAAAGAAGGAAGGTATGTTTTATGCAAAATCCCACCGGGGCTTTTGTGAGAACAATTTACCAATATTCTGAGTTGGGTTTTGACTGTTATCCTGCCTATATTCCCCTTGGATAACTGGACTATTATGTGCATACATTTTGCATGAATGTGCTTTTTCTACTTCACCTCACACAGAATGGTGAGACACTTTTTGAAACTAATTTTAATGTAGTCTTTCTCAAGCTACAAGGAATAAAACATAGCTTCTCAAAATCCTAGAGCTCCTACTCTGTTGAGAGTTTTATCAAATTTCAGAACTATGTACAATACAGATCCCTTCTTATTGGCATTCAAATAAAAGTCTTCTAAGCCTTTGGGCATATAAAACAGCAGTCAGGGTTTATTAAGAAAAATCTATTATAAAATTATTTTTATTGTAGTGTGCTGGACACAATATTGTTTAATAAATGATGAATAAGTAAATGTTTTGTCTCAGGAATCTATTATTTTTTAAAATCAAGGTTTGTTTTTTTTCCCTTACAAATAAAACATATTCCTGTTACAGAGAAATTTGAAATTCAGAAACAGAGGTAATAAAACTTTGCCTAATTTTTAAATCTGTCCGCAATTATCATTAGTAAGTTGGCATATTTTCTTCTAATCTTTCTTCATACACACTTACATGCACACAAAAAGTCATTTTATGTTATGCTTTTATTTTTATTTTGCATTACTTAATCTTTTTTAGTTAATATTTTCTAGATTGTGGCATAATTAGCAAAACTATCATTTGAATAATTCTGTATTTTTCTATTGTGTGACTATACCACAAATTCGTCAACACTCTCTTACTGTTCAGAGGGCAGTGTTTAATATTCCCATTATTGGGAGACACAAAGCAATGTCGTGAAAAAAGCATTTCCCTAAATATGTATTTTTAGGATAATATTACATTTTTCACTTTGGATTTCTAGAAATGGAATTGCTACATCAAAAATCATGTTCATTTTTATGAATTTCTGGATTCTTTTCTTACTTTGTTTCCAAAAATGGGTTTCTAGCTTATACTTCTGTGGAAGTGGGACATTACCTTCACCACACTCTTACTGGCATTGGTTATCATTTGTACATAAAACAATTTTAATGACCATATGACTGCCTTTTGTGAAGAGACAATGTGTCTGTTGTCATACAAACATTTTAGTTTCATTTCTGCAACATGGAAATGAAGTCGTGATACCATCACACCACTATAAGGCATACATATCCATTAACGTGCAAATTATTAGTGAATGTCTACTGTTCAGGGTTCCAAACCATATAATTTTAAGCCAGAAAACAATTTAGCTACCTTTTACAGGTATCATTTCATATTTCATTGTTATGGTTCTAATTCCAACAATAGAGAATTTTAAAATTGTTAGAGAAACAGTAAAAGAAAGGGCAAAGAAGATAAAAAAGAAAATATCCTAAGCAAAAATTCAAGTTAAGGTGTTTCCATCTTCAAACAAATGAGGTTAAAAACCTCTTGTTTTCATTTTCAAGTTTTAGGAGCAGAAAGTTTCATGGCCTAAATAATATAAAATAATAAATTTATCAGATCTAGGCATTCAGCCTATCTACTATAAACAAAATAGATGTCTTTTGACCATTAAGTATACATTACTACATAAAAGCTATAAATATAATGATGTATTCACCAGTAACCCATGAGTTAACACTAACCTATTTCTTTTCCATTACCGTACGAATAACTGAATATCTGTATTGAAAGTGTATTGATTTTCAAAAAGAGTGCAGCACAATTCACCTGGACTGACTTAGATTGAACAAAAGAAAAGTTTTCAAGCTAACTTCATGAACTCCTAAGCATCTTTATGGAAATCAAACATATATTTACTCAGTTTCATGTTCTATTAACAGGTTATTAACTTATATAGGCAAAGCAAAATGTCTTTAGAAATTTTATGTGAATATATTTTCCTTTGTATTTTTCAATGTTTTATATTTTTGTAAAATATTATTAATATACAATAATGAAAATACTTTATAGAGTTCCTCACCCCTGCTTCATTCTAATACTCATTTCCCAAAAAACAGAACAGTTCCTAAGTCTCATATTTTAGAAATATATCATGTAACTTATCAATTTTTTGAACAATTTTATTTCATTATTCAAAGAAATTTGTTGTGAGCTAATCAGCTGTTGATTTATTATATCTGTTTTATCAATAATTTATCTTTGTGTTTTCAGATCCCAAGAAAACAAAAAAACCTGCAGAAGGTACTGAATATATTTCTTTTTTTCTGCCTTATGTTTGATGAACCCTAAAAGAGCATACCTTTTTAAAGGATTGACATAGAAAAAGGAATTACGTGTGGCATAGAGGAGAAGAAAAAATGATTGAGATTGAGAGAGAGACAGCCAAATCTATTCTGACAATACTCCTGTGAGAAGTATTTGGCAGTAATAGAAATAAATACTGCATATATTTACCTTTCAAAGTAATTGTTTCCAAAGAAATGTTTACTTGACAAGATATTGAAAACTGTTCAATATCAAACATTTATTTTACTAGAAAGCACATACTCAATTACATTTGCATACACCAGCATCAATTAGGAACTGATTTGTTCCTTTTAGTCTTGAATAATTCATTTGGCAAGCATACCTGTACCTTCTGGACTTGTTCACATGTGTTTATGCATATAGTGTGTTTATGTGTTTTCATGTGTTTAAGAAACACATATCAGGTGTAAATAATTTAAAAAGGTTAAACAGTACAATCCTGGGTTAATTTGTTGTCATATGTTTGCCAATCAAATTATGGAAGTACCTACAGTAATTGACAATACCTCAGAGCCTCACTGTTAAATTTCACCTCTCTGTGAAATTTAAGGAGAGAAAATTGGGAGGAGGGGTGGAAAAAATTACAGTCTAATCAATATGTAGGGTAGTAAATTTTATTTTTAAAGGCTTTAAGAGCAATGATTTTGTTTATATTTCTTTCAGTAGAACAACCCAAGGGAAAAAGTAAGGAAATGCATGCAGTGTATTTGTGTACTTTTTTAAACTACTATTATTATTATTGGCCTGCTGCTATAAATAAACCTGCAATTTTGAATCCGCCTTTCCTATGTTTTATGCATGTAAACTCTGTTTATTTATTTATTTTGTCCACGTGAAAGAATACACAATCTGGGGTTAGAGTGGGCTGAGAGGCGTAGTAATCATTTTTAGAGCTCTTTCTCAAGTTCATGCAATCATCTAACAATGCTCTTGACAGGCTTGTACACAAAAGTAAAGCTGCATTTCATTGACCCAAACTGCTGTGTTTTTGTAAATTTAGTCTTCCTAATCTGGTTAGTTCTCAGTCCTTAGAAAAGACTGACTAGATGTTCTTTTACAGGCTAGTTTTATTACTTTTTTTCTTATCTTTCTTTTTGTAATCTGTAAATATTTTGGCATGTTCACATGATAATGACATTTTGCCCATAACAGAATTTTTCCCCGATAGGCACTATGAGCTCTAATAGCATTGTTATTCAGCCTCATCCACAGTTGCTTTAAGACACTATTAAAGCTGTGTGCTAACAATTCAGTCAAGCTCAATACCTTAAGGTATGTCTTTCACAAATATATGTTCTCCTCTGAAGAAAATAGTATATATTTAACAAATAAAAAAAAAAAAAAAAAAAAACCCAACACCTAACCTTACTCAATTAACTATTAAATATAGCACATTACCAACAATATAGGGATTTTAAGATTTTAATGTTATCGAAAATATGTTTTAAAATGTATACCAATTAAGAAATATACTTATGTATGTTTTGACCCTGCAAAAAGTAAAGATACTGAGACATTCAGTGTCATAAAAATGCTCTAAAATGCCCTGTGGAGAGACTCATGAAATTATACTACAACTCAGCCAGAGGGAGCAATCCATCTATAGAGAGGTATGAGTTTTCTCAGTTCCAGATTTACGTGTGTGCAGAGCTGCTGATGAATACTGGCACAGCAATACAGAAACCACTGTATAAACACTGCACCGGCAGGAAAATGGAGGACAACTGGAGATTCAAAAAAATAATATTAAAGTATATATAGAGAGAGCCTTAAGACTCTTTACTACAGTTTATATTGTTTAAAAGTTCCTGCAGACACTGCAGTCCTTGGCAATCTTCCGGGCACTGATGCACTTAATAAATAAACATGCCTTCTCACACATTCATTCACAACCCAACTGTTTCCCCCTTTGAAAAGGTCTGCAGATCATGACTTGGGCAGCAATAAGGAGAAGAAATAGTTTTCTTCAAAACATCTATCAATTCTTTTGAAATGCACTTATTTGCTCTGGTTTACCATCTATACTTGCCTTTATTATTGCTAGTGTCGTATCTTTGAATTTCCTCGATTTGGATTTTTTGTCTTCAGGATTGCTTTATTCAGTGATACACTCCAATTCTATATTTTATTTTGCTTCTACTTTTCCAGTAATCACAACTTAATGATTGTTCATTTTTCAGATATTTTTAATCATGGCAAGGGAAACAGGATGAGGAGCACAAGAGATCGTCCTGTACATTTTGTAAATTTGTGTGATCTGTATTTTTTTTAAAAATAAAAAGTAAAAGGATGAGGACTCAAAAATCAACCATAAGCATGAGTTTGCGATCCCTATAGAATTAAAGGGTAAATTAATGTATATTTATTAAGGTAATTCAATAATTACATCCTGAACTATCCTATATAATGAACAAATTAGCACAGGTAATTTTCAACTTATATTATGGTTTTCTGATAAGATCGAAGGGACTTTATTTTAGCTTTTAATCTTATGTATAGCTGGTATCCGATTTTGATGCATACTCAAATGTGCTTCCCGTACTGTTTTGACTATTATCACTGATTATTTGAGACTCTCATCATAAATTTCACAGAAATGTTTTATAATTAGAGCTTCAGTTAAGCAATAAATTAAACAATGCATTTAATTGCTCTTCTTTTGCCAGACAACATTTGATTATGTTCTTACTTTCTTTAATCTTAGCTAAATTGTTGTAGCTTCTTCTTTTTGACCTGCAATACTTGGTCAAGCCATTTGTTTTATTTTTTTTATTTTACTGCTTAAATGCTATCTTAAAAGAGGATAAGTGACCCTTATGCCATACTTAAATGACTACAAGTCTGACAAACAAAATTGCATACTTGAGAAAATTATGTGATGACCATAGAAGAGTCTATGACACTCTCTGGTTTTAAAATATAGTTTGTAGAATCCTTTCAGCATGTACATATTCTGGTCTTCAAAATCTATTCATTAAATAAAACTTTAAGAATCTTACCATTATTTTCCTTTAAAATATTAGATAAAAATATGTGTATATTATTTTTTGAAAATCTTCTTTTAAATTAATTTGACAAGCTTGTCAAGGCAAAATAAATAAGAATAGAAATGCAGAGAATAGCACTTCATATAAAATTAGTGCTTGCAATTCTTATAAAATTAGTACTTATTATAATGTAAATGTCAGCTTATTCTTGAGAACAAGATAATTCTTAGTCTCATAAAATATTGACGAAAGTAGATTCCTAAAAAAGGATATAAAGAGGACTCCAAAAGGAGCATTTGTCTAAAATCAAGGCAAATGTTTCACCCTGAAACTTCTTTTTCTATTTTAGTGTCTTAAATGTGCCTCACAAAGCCTTCATCTTAGCTTAACAGCTATCTCTTCAGTGTGAGAAGATTCTTAGAAAAGGCAGTCCACATGAAATGTGTTATCTTCATCTTTCTGATAATTATTTTTAAATAACTGCAATAAGGTGGGGTGCTGTGGCTCATGCCTGTAATCCTAGCACTTTGAGAGGCTGAGGTGGGTGGATTTATTGAGCCCAGAAGTTTGAGACCAGCCTGGGAAACATGGTGAAACTTTGTCTACACACACACACACACACACACACACACACACACACACACACACATACTACAAATTTGGCTAGACATGGTGGTGCGTGTCCGTGGTCCTAGCTACTTGGGAGGCTGAGGCTGGAGGATTAATTAAGCCCAGGAAGTGGAGGCTGCAGTGAACTAGAATTGTACCACTGCACTACAACCTGGGCAACAGAACAAGACCCTGTCTCAAAAAACTAAGCCATTTTTTAAAAAAGTTGTAATAATTATCTTTTGTACTTACTATTTTGACTCAAATTTATTATCTGTAAAAAATTTGAATTCCTCTAATATTCAGAATATTTTGATGCTGCCCCATAAAGAAACTCACAAGATAAATGGAAGGAAGAGTTATTTTAAGTGTACATCTTAGTCTTTCTGTGGAAGCTATTATTAGTTGCTGCAATCTGGCATCAGCACATGCATGCTTCTTTATGTTAAAACAATTAAGTTCTGATTCATAAAATTTGGAATAATAATAATAACAATAATAATATGTTTCAGAACAGGAAAAGAAAGATAAACATGTGGAACCAGGTACCTGTTTTTAAACTCGTCTATCCTCACAATTTCATAATATTATTTGATTTACAATTGAATACTAAATTGCAATAGAATGACATAGAATATCGATGTTTTTCTTTCTTTTTTGATATAGCAAAGTCACCAAAGAAGGAACACTCAGGTGAGTAAGACTACTGTTGCTGAACTTCAAATACTGATGTCCAGGGTTTATTAATGCTGTAGCGTCAGACAGGTGGTAAGGCCGTACCAGTAAAGGGCAGGGAACGCTTCCAACTCACAGTGTTTTTTCCAAGTTCTTGACATGAACATAACAATGCAGTTTTAGAAAGCCAAATGTTACACCCATGCTCCTCAATGTGTGTTCTGTGAACTAGCAGCATCACGATTACCCTAGAGGTTATTAGAAATGCAGAATTTCTGGCCCCACTTAAGACCTACAGAATCAGAGTCTGCACCTTCACAAGATACTCAGTGAATTCATCTGTGCAGTGTTCATGGAGCACTGTTTTACAGTTTAGTGTCAAAGCAAAAGAAAACAACAAGAAAACACATTATTTAAATGCAGTATACAGTGCTTTGTTTTTAAATTATAGAATAATTACTTCCAGCAAGTATTCTCTCCCTATACATAATCTTACTTAATAACATTTGCTGTGTGCTCAAGTGAGGTGCAGTGAGAATAAAAGTAGATTTTTGCTCTAAATATATTTACCTTCTGATGAGAAAAAACTGAATTGAGAGTTAAGCAACCAGACAAATGAACCTATCAACAAAAACTAAAAGTGCAGCTGATATGGATACCAAATTATTGTCTTGAAGTTTTCTATTTAACCTGACCAATTAGTCATTTCAAATGATAATTTCCAAAACCACTTGTATTTATCTAATTTAAAAATATCACCTCTTGATTTTGCCTGGTTAAATCCTACTGAAAGAGCTTCACTGAATTAAGTGCTGTGTGTGCATGTGTATATTGGTGGTCATAACTTCATGTAATACCCATTAGTCATTCTTCCCATTTCATTTTATTTAAGTGGAAATGGCACCTGCTCAATCTTATTTAAATAACCATGCAAAGATGCTCAATTTTAGTCTCACCCTGCCACAAACCACGGCAAACTACAGGTTTGAGTTCACATTATTCATTTTTCAAGATTATAAAATATCCTGAGATAACCCAAATCTGTTTTAAGTGTCTGTCCAATTACTTCCCATAGCATCATTTTCTTGTGTAATATTTCATGTGATGTTAAAATCATATTATCTTTTCCTTTTTCTACCTTAAATAGTCAGAAATTAGAAGCAGCAGACTGTTTTTTCTCTTTATTTCCAGAGCACCTATTGTAATGCCAGGACCCAGCGGGCACTTAGTAATAGTTTATTGGGTGAAGAAAGAAACACTAAATAGAATAATTACATTTTTATATATTTAAAAACTGAAGACTTTAAAATAATTTACAAGATTCAATAATTGCACATTTCAGCATTTCATATTTCACAGTATTTGACCTTTGGAAGAAATGTTTTGTCTACTTTACAGAAAACACTCTGTTGGCTCAGAGTTGCATTTCCTCAAGCATAACACGTCTTCTTGCTTATACATGTAAGAAGAAACCTAAGATAGAGAATGCATTATAGAAAGATGGAGACACCTACAGAACAACTATTAGTGTAGCCAGTTTTAAAAGTTCTAATAGTAAAATATTACTGTCTAATATTGAACCTGACAAAATATAGTAAATTGCTGAAATCGTTATCTAGTTATTTCAGTGTGTGATTACAATGCAGCAACCTAGCAGTATTTAGCTGTAGTTCAAAAATTAAAACCACTTATTTGAATAATTTACCAAGTGAATTCATTCTTTTCATATAATTTTATAGACGTTGAGGAAAATGTGTTTGTATGTAAAAAAAAATCAGATCCTTGGACAACTAAAAACAGAGAGTAAGATGAATGAGTCATGAATGAACATTCTGTGTTGGGAGAATTGTATGAAAAACAAACAATAAAATTCTATGGAACCGTATTGTATTTTCTCTTTCTCAGATCTTATTTTTCTTTAGCTTCCAATATTATACACACAATCTTTAAACAATTAAAGTAAACTTAAAATTATTTTGGAAAGAGATAGGTAGACTTGTAATTACTGTTAACCTTATTATTTCTTGTCATTAACAGTTCCAAGTGAAAAACAAGTAAAAGCAAGTATGTTGAACAAAACTTTTAAAGAAGAGCATATTTTAGCAGCTTACTCATTTGAGTTTTCTAGTATAGCCTATGCTAATGCTCATTTTGAGGATGGCTTACTAGCTTCTTGGTATGATTATTTGTTGTATTGAAGTAATATGCAAAATTACTTATCCTTGTCTTTTCTGTGAATTCATTCTTATTAAAATTCATCTATAGAGCTTTCATTGAATTTGTCCACATCATAACTACTTTGTGAAGTGCTTATATTTTTATTTCTCATTTTGCAGAATAAGTGAACTCTTTAGTTTCTTAAACACATCAGACTGAATTATCCTAATGATAAAAAACTTGATCAAACCAGTTGGCAACCTAATTTGTCTACCATGAATATTCTGTCTCTAATTAAATGTAGCCTGTCAACATTGTATTACCCATTGCTCTTGTAATGTCACAATTCCCTATTAAGGTTTTTATTCTCAGAGTATGAAGTATTATCTGATAACCATCACATACCATGGCATTTGCAGCAATGGTAGCTTTGATAATATGCTTAGGGAAAAATGCTGAGAAATTGTTGGTATTTCTTAATTTGATGAAACATCTGACTGATTGTCATTAATAAAAGTTATTTTAAGCATAATGGAAAGTATTTTGTTTTAGGAAGAAATACATAGGCTTCATATATATGATTTAGGTCAATCCTCAGTTCTATGCATGATATCAATGTGCTTATATATTTTTTAAGGTATTGGAGGTAAATGTGTATTGGTGACATTACTAATACATAAAAAATGCATATTTTATTTAGTGATGAGTTTTTGAGAGATTATATCAGTGGATAAATCAGATAATAATTGGAAGATATATTGAGTAGCTTGGTAGGAATGTCTTTTTAAAAAAAAATTACAGTTGGAAGTATACACATAAAGTCCCATCGAATTTACTCACATTGAGAACTTCACAAGAGTTTTAATATGAATCTAAAATTACATTTATATTTCCATGAAAAATTTTAGTTGAATGTAAAGCTGATTGAAACTCTATATTATGGAGTCTTTATTATGCTGATACTTCATCTGTAGAAATGCATAATCAAGAAAATATATAAAACAAATCTGATAATTTTGCAGCACTGGAAGGGAGTTTTAGATTGAAGATTGCTCTGAACATGAACATTTTCTTCCTAGAAAAATGTGACATATAGATAAAAATATTCATTTGCAATAAAAAAGTCTGTAAGTTTTGCTATCTATGAAACACACTATCCAATCAGATTCTGAAGAGATCAGCATATTTTGCAGGAAATTAGCACATTAGGTTGCCAAATCATCTTAAACCCAATAAAAGTTTCAAAAGACTTAATATTCTAGTCCCTATAAGGGTGAGAGATTTGCACTTGACATGGACATTATCTTTCAACACAAAAATTAATTAGACATAATACACAAGCTGCTTAAATTATCTGATAACAAGATGACCAGCCACTTCCCTAGCTAGAAATGTATTTTGATATTGAAATTATACGGCAGAAGAATTTTTACTCAGCTGCTATATACAGCAGGCTACTTATAAAGTTAATGCCTAAAGTGAAAATTACATATTGTTACAGATACTGTTGTAAACCCTTTAAATCATCCATATAGTATGTACACATAGTTTTCTTTACATGACCTGCACATTTGGGATGTGATTTTATAGTATGTTAAATTGTGAGAACAAATGAGAATGATAAAGATAGATGAATTAGCATAAAGTACGTATTGATGTGATGCAATTACATAGTATTGAATTTAAAGGGATAGATGAGATTGACAGGGGTAAAGCCAGGCCAAGGAGAAGGTAAAAGGGGATTTGTCATTAACACTGGATTAAAGAACATAACTGGAAGGTGCATTGAGTTATTGGTATGGGATTGTTAATTCTAGGTTCCAAGGAAACACGTGAAAATACGAAAAATACTGGAGGACTTGGAGAAGCTTGGGAATTACATCAAATTCAGAATAATGGATGCATTAGTCCATTTTCATGCTGCTGATAAAGACATGCCTTGGACTGGGCAATTTACAAAAGAAAGAGGTTTAATGAATTTACAGCCCCACATGGCTGGGGAGGCCTCACAATCATAGTGGAAGGCAAGAAGGAGCAAGTCCGTTTTACATGGTTAGTGGCAAGCAAAGAGAGCTTGTGTGGGGAAAATCCCATTTTAAAACCATTAGATCTTGTGAGACTTATTCACTATCATGAGAACAGCATGGGAAAGACTTGCCCCCATGATTCAATTACCTCCCACCGGGTCCCTCCCGCAACGTGTGGGAATTCAAAATGAGATTTGGGTGCCGCCATAGCCAGACCATATCAAGAGTCTCATAGTAACATGAGCTTCAAGAAAATGCAAACCTTTCAGATTACTGGTGCAATGCTAAGGAAGAGCCCTTCATGCTTCCCCATTGAAAGTTATGTGTCACGATGTGGTGTGGATGAAGAAACAGTACCTTGGACTAGGCAGGGATGCCAAACCTAGATTGACAATTTCTGCAAGTCAGCAAAGACTCATGGCATAAGCAAAAATATCTCAACACATCCAGCTCCCCTCCCTGCACTCCCTTCATGTGCGTCTCCACGCGTGGAATAGCAACACAGAGGTTAACAATATAATTGGTCATTGCTAAGCAGGAAGAGGATCTGACAAGTGGATGTTTAGATTTTAGAGAACTTCATGCCTTTAACACTATGTATATGGTGAATCTTCAAGAAAGAATATAGGAGACATTGTTTACCAAATATAGGTGACCACATCACTCCTTTCTTTTTCATTGACCTCATCAAGGATCACTATTTTTCAGGATGTTGGGTAGCATTGTCCCAGGTCACTTTAATCCACCTCAAGAACGTTGGAGCTGGGATCATGTTATTCCACATGCATGATCAGCCAGCCAGTGGAGAGTTTGATTTTTGAGTAAAATAAACACCAAAGCCCAGGATAAGTCCAAAGTATAGTGAATTTTAACTTTGATCTAATAATCAGGCATTTTTCACCCATTGATTTTAGCACTGCACAGATTAGGTGGTATGTTTAGCCACGAAGCCTATTTTTATCTCCTTAACCACACTTCAGTGTCTAAATGTGTGAATCAGATCTCTATCATCTAATCCACTAATATATGTCAGGATCATTTAGGAGACACTTATATGCAGAATTTAAAATTAAAGATTCCTCAAGGACCTAGAAATAGAAATTTCATTTGACCCAGAAATCCCATTACTGGGTATATATCCAAAGGTTTATAAATCATTCTATTATAAAGTCACATGCACAGGTATGTTCATTGTGACACTGTTTATAACAGCAAAGACTTGGAAGCAACCCAAATGCCCATCAATGATAGACTGGACAAGGAAAATGTGGCACATATACACCATGGAATACTATGCAGTCATAAAAATTGATGACTTCGTGTCCTTTGTAGGGACATGGATGAATCTGGAAACCATTGTTCTCAGTAAACTGACAGAAGAACAGGAAAACAAACATCGCATGTTCTCACTCATAGGCAGGTGTTGAACAATGAGAACACATGGAAACAGGGAGGGGAGCATCACACACTGGGGTCTGTTGGCGGGCAATAGGGAAGGGACAGAGGTGGGTAAGGAGGTTGGAAAGGGAAAACATAGGGAAAAATGAGCACTAGATATAAGAAAGCATTAAAAAAAAGAAAAATACAAATGTTCTATAAACATATCAAAAGATGTTCAACCTCTAAGTAATAACAGAATTGTACTTAAAAGTACAAGAGAGCATTTTACATAAGACTAATTTTCAAAATGAGAGAATAGGCTCATTCTGGTGATGGCAGTGATATGGAGCAAAAGAAACTCATACATACACTGCTGATGTGAATGCAGAATTTGGGGAGAAAAGTGTGTCATTTTTCTAGGGTACATGCCTAGCAATTTTACCTCTATGAAAATTATTGCACAATGTGCACAAGGAGACACATGTACAGGAATGTTCATAGCAGAATTGTTTAGAAAGCACAAAACTGGATGTGACCTAGTGCCCATTGGCAGGAGAATAAAACTATAGTTTGTAGAATATACATTGGAGTGCTAGACAGCAGTTAAGTTAATCAACTACAGCACTCATATCAACATAGTTATGTCTCAGAAAATAATAAAGTTCAAATTATACAGTTCAATTTATATATCTCACTAAATATTATAACTTAATGTAATTTATATAAAATTATCTTACCTTTATTTTCTCTAATAAAAACTCATAGAGAAAAATAAGGAAATAATTACTACAAAATGCAGGCCAACTGTAACTTTGAGACAGAGAGAGAAGCATGCAGTGCTAGTAAGACAAGTAAGAGGTTTCAAAGACCTTGGCGATATTCTGTTTCTTAGGTTTATAAGAGGTTGCAAAGGTGAACATTCTTTATTGCTATTTATTAGAATGTGCAAAAATGTTATGTGCCCTCTATTTATGTGATATCTTTCACAGTAAAACGGGTCTAAAAAATAGAGAGTGAGAGGATAGAAGTGACAGTGAGTGCAGCAGCTGTCTGGGAGCTACATGGAATGCAAAGAGATGAGGCAGCTGAAAATGGCATATAGAATTGAAGGATGTGGTTGTCTGTGGTTCTAGAGTGACATGCTTCCGAGGCATTGTGAAGCATCAGTGAAGGAGGAAACTGATGAGGTAGCTGACAGAAGCAGTACTGGCAAGAACAAAGGCCCTGACTGGGCAAAAGGAGATGGAGTCCAGAAAAAATATGGAAGGATTGGTACCAAATACAGGTGGGAACTGATAACCTTTTAGAACTGGAAAGAAAAATGGAAGCATATGTACTGCTGAGGTGGTAGAAAAGTGAGGTAGTCTAGTCTGCCTGTATTTTCTCTATGAATTTCTCAACAGCAGCTTACTTCTATGTTGTAGGATGTTTAAGGAGGGAAGAGAATATTTGAAACACTTGTTAAGAGTATGAGAAATCAACTTTATTGGGTCTGTGGTAGTATTGCTGGCCAGTGCTGAGTGATCTCATAAATGTGATTTGAAGTGAAGTCTGCTGAAGAGTGAGAGTCTTCCTTCAGCTTGGAAGACTGCTCAGGCAGTAGGCATAAAGTATTTGGTGTTCTGGCAGACATGGTGGGTTGATATGTGCCTCCCACCAAAAGATATGCTGAAACCCTAGCCTGGAAGCTATGAATGTGACCTGATTTTGAAATAGGGTCTTCATAGATGTAATCAAGTTAAGATGAGGCCATACTGGATTAGGTGGGCCCTCAATCTTATGATTGATATCCTTATAAGAAGAGGAAATTTGGGACACACAGACACATATAGAAGACTGCCTCATGAACATAAAATCAGAAACTGCAGCAATGCAGCTTCAAGCCAAGGAATGCCAAGGGTTTCCGGTAATTAGCAGACTCTAGGAGGAGGCAAGGAAGGATTCTTCCCAAGATCCTTTAGAAGGAGCTCTCCAGGGTCCTGCCAACACCTTAATTTTGGACTTCTATCCTCTGGAACTTTGGAAAAATACATTTCTTTTGTTTTTACCTACCCAACAGTTTTAAGGCAGTCCTAGGAAATTAATACAGCAGATTACCACAACAACAGAATATGTGTGAACCATTCAACTATGGCTCATTTATGCATAAGCACGGTAAGAAGTAAAGTGAGGGTATGAGGAAAATCTTGAAAAATGAGAAAGTGGCAAGATCAAAGGATTGGAAGTATTAATGGAGTCAGATACTGTTTAACAGTCATTCTTGTGTAACTGAGCTCTAAAGAGACAAAATGATGCCAAAGAATAGAATTTTTAAAATCAATGTTGTGGTAGTAAAGGAAGATTCTGAGGGCACTAATATAGTTGGAAATTACCAGAGAAGTTGGGTTTCTAGTTTTCTGAATTGAGGATGCCAAGGAGGTCAAAGATCATGTAGTTCTATAAATTATGTACATTAGTGACTCCCAACCCTGGCAAAATGTTAGAGTATCGTGGAAATCAAAAATATATCAATACTCCAGGCTTGCCCCAAACTCATTAACTTAGAATCTCAAAGTTCTGTTGCCCACCCCAGATATCTGAATATCATAGACTTAGAAACAATCCCCAGCTTATTCTAAGGTGCAGACAGGGTTAATAATTGTTCTTAATATTCATAGTAGTAGAGAGGATGATAACTATGTGTGAAAATAATCAATGAATGGCAGGATAGGCCACAAGACTGGTTGATGACAATAATGAAGAAGAGTGGAGACTGGTGCAACCTGATAGCATGTGCTTCAAAAGAACTGAGGTCTGGAGGAAGCAAGGAGATAACCTAGGAAGAGTAATAAGAAACAAAGAGGATATAAATACAATCACTTCTAGGCACCTTGGTATGTGGAGGATGTAAACAAACATTCTCCATTTTAGAAGACTACCTGTAGGAGGGGATACAGTGTCCTTAGTGAGCTAGGATTTGATTAAAGGAAGAAAGTAAAATGAGCATTCTTAGAAGAGGCTGAAGATACAGAAGTGTGTGCTGCTGATGGACAGAGGACACAGAGGAAGGGTTTTGGAAGTAGGTCAGCTACTAAGAGAAACACAGAGCCACATGGACTCTGGTTTCTGCTATAAGGCTGAAACTCATGTTAGTAACCGAGGTAAGTAGAGTGGGGATTCACAGTAGGATTAGTCTTGACTGATTCATAGAGGAAGTTTGGTAATCAGTTTCCAAAGTGTGGTCCAAACCAGGAGCATAAGCATCTCCTGGGAACTGTTTAAAAATGCAGGTTCTCAGAACGTGCCTCCAACTTACTGAATCACACCGTTTGCGCTCAGCATCTGTTTCAGTAGCCCTCCAGGGTGGACCTGATGCATGCTTAAGTTTAAGAACCATTGATCTAAAAAGTCTTACCTGAAAGGTATAAACAGCCAGGGTCTGTTCACTCTTGAAGCTCAGGGTCTTGAGATAACTCAAAGAAGTGGTTATTTATGCCACTTCTTTTCTGAGTTTAAATTGTGACTCTTGGGGCATTTATCATTGTGGAATTAAAACCTGAAAGTGATGTGAAGACCTCCTTATGATGTCTGGTGTCTCTCAAAAGCCAGGATTTTGTGGCATAGAGAGGATGAGGGGTGTAAAGGCAGGCCTTGTTTGGTTTGGTTTTTCCCACAGCCTCAGTGCTGAACATATATATAAATACCAAAGGGGGCCAACTGTTCAAACTGTGTCCAAATACATATAAATACCAATAAGAATAAAAATAAGAATATATATGCCCAAGGGAAATAACTGCAGCTAATCAAAAGTTATACAATGAGTAAATAAAGCTTTGTGAAAATTCACGAGCTTATTATTATTATTATTATTATTATTATTTTATTTTCCTGTGGACTAGAGAAAATTTTGACTTTAACTAGCTTCGATTTGTGGTCCAGTATTTTTTCCTAGCACCAACTTTTCAGATCATGGCTTCACGGCAGCTCTCATATCTTCCACTCCAGGTATTTAGAAAAATCAAAAGCCCATTTTGGGTCTTTTCATTATCTTTCTCTCTCTTGAGGAAATATTCAGATGAAATTTTCTATAATATTACGGCTAATCTTTTATAATGTAAAACTAATTCAGTGAGGTCAAATATTGTTTGCCTGCAATCAGTATTAAGGGTTAAACAACTTTTAACAGCCTCAATCATGATTAGAAGCTAAAGAAACAAGCCCTCTTAAATGCTCTTCCTTATAATTCATATATACCCTTAAAATTTGTAGACTATGGCCAGATGTGGTGGTTCATGCTTTTAATCCCAGCACTTTGGGAGGCCAAGGCGGGTGGATCACCTGAGGTTAGAAGTTTGAGACCAGCCTAACCAACATGGTGAAACCCCATCTCTAGTAAAAAAAAAAAAAAAAAAAAATTAGCCAGCCATGGTGCCAGACCCCTGTAATCTCAACTACTTAGGAGTCTGGGGTAGGAGAATTGTTTGAACCTAAGAGGCAGAGGTTGCAATGAGCTGAGATTGTGTCACTGCACTCCAACCTTGGCAATAAGAGTGAATATCTGCCTCTAAAAAAGAAAAAAAAGTTACAGATTAATAAATTAGTATCACACTGTATTGAATGTGGACTTAATTTTAAGTACCATTGATCTAAAGTCTATGGAATAGGTCACTACCTACGTTTTTAAGATAATACAGTTGTACCTTGGAAGACAATTATTTTTATTTAAGGAAGTGTATTGATTAAAAAAAAACATATAAGCACTTTGTATTTTGGCTTTCTCTGCAGCTTGCTTTGCTCTCATGTGCAACATACATTTTATCTTTTGTTTAGTTTTATGCTCAATAGTATAAGATATGAGTTTGGCATCACTAATATCCACTTCTCATTCCTTTAATATCTGAACTTGCAGAAACTGAACGAGTCAAAGAGGAGGTTGGTGCTGTTTCAAGTAAAAAAGGTAAATGCAGATTAAAGATAAAGATTTCACGACTATAACTTATTTTTGCTAATGTTTCTAACTTAATGTATTGCTTTGTGCTTATAGAAGCACTCTATTTATTGACTTTACTAGTTCACTGATATATAAACAAACCTATTTTGCACACGATTTAATCTTTAGTATTCTAAAGCCAATAGTTTTATTCCTTTAGGACCATACATCGAAGCTAGTTATGCTAGTCAAGCTGCAAGTTAATTTTGAAAAATTATAGAAATGTAACTGTTTAAACTCCATAGGATACTCATCATCTGGTGAGCATTCAAGTGCAATATACTGCCTCAGGAGATTAGGAATCAAACAAATGAAACTTTAACTAAAAGTATCCACATGAACAAGATTCACTTTGTTCAAGAATGGTATAAAATTAGGAAATGTATTATATGAAATGCTGACTTGGAGACAGTTTGCTTTAAGAACTATATTGGGAAGTCAGAAATGAAATCAATAATGCAGCCAGTGTTTTTGGATATATTTCAAAAGACAATTTCAGTAAGGCTATCCTCAACATACACATATGCATACACACACACAAACCTGCACACATACCCTTACACACATACTTCTCTAAAACCACATAACATGTTCTCCCAAAAGACAATTTTATTGCACATGCATTAAAGAAAAACATATGAAAGGATTGTAGGGAGATATAAAATATATATGACACATATTCACAAACTCAATCCCAATGTATACATATGAATGTAAATGAATATGAGAATGTAACTTAATATCTAGTAGAAATTTGTGTTTATTGATAAATACAATATAAATTAATGTTAGCTATTATATAAATTAATTTATCAATTATTTTATATATACATATATCTCTAAGGGAAAATAAAAATTAGATAATGGATTCTTACAGAAAAATATGAACTGTATTTTAAGATTATAGTTAGAGGCAGCTAAGTTATTGAAATTAATAGATGCTCTCTTTCAAATACAGCTCTATGATTCTGAATTTACAGTAGATAAGGATAAAATCTGTTTCCCAGTAATTTTCTTTTTATAATCTGATATTTGTAATGTCATTTTTCAGTTGGGTGATCATGATACATCTTTCGTTGACATCATTTGTACTATAAATGGTAGAGTCATTTATCAGAAGTTCTTATTAATGTGGTGTCACATTCTGGATTACATTCCTCATTGGTATTAAGTGAAATGTGGGTTAAACTTGTTTGCTTCAAAGTTGTGGTTACAAGAAAAGACTGAGTCTTTATAATATAGAGTCAGAGAAAATCACTATCCTAGACACTGACACAGAGTTCATGGGTTCAGTAAGTGGACTTAAGGCCAAGGCACTGATTTATGTAGAAAGAACAAAAGTGGGGTCAAGTTATGTTAAAAAAATTAGGCAAGCCTAAAAACAAGATGTCCAAACGGCAGAAGATGGGTTTCTTTTAGAATTATATTTTATTTTTATTTTTTCATTTTCTTTTTTAATTTTTTGAGACGGAGCCTCGCTCTGTCGCCAGGCTGGAGTGCAGGGGCGCGATCTCTGCTCACTGCAACTTCCGCCTCCCGGTTTCAAGCGATTCTCCTGCCTCAGCCTCCCGAGTAGCTGGGACTACAGGCGCCCAACATCACGCCCAGCTAATTTTGTATTTTTAGTAGAGACGGATTTTACCATGTTGGCCGTTATGGTCTCCATCTGTTGACCTCGCGATCTGCCCGCCTCGTCCTCCCAAAGTGCTGGGATTACAGGCATGAGCCACTGCACCCGCCTGGAATTAGATTTTATAGAGAGAGCCTTATTGAATCCATGTTTTTGGAAGACAATCTGGAGACACAGTTAAGAAGCAAAGATTGAACTCCTGGTACCTGATCCATGTACAGACTCTGCATCACTGGAAGCCTGAGTATTGTTAGAAGAAAACCCTTGGCCAAATTATATTTAACAGAGTTTAATTGAGCAAAAAATGATTCATTAATCAGGCAGCTTCCTTAGCCAGAGTAGGCTCAGAGAAACTTCAGCACAGCCCCGTGGTGGAAGGATTTATGGACAAAACAAGGAACATGACACACAGAAAAAGAAAGTGAGACACAGCAACAGCTAGATTAGTTATAGTTTAGTTTGCCTTATTTGGACACAGTTTGAACAGTTGCCCCCCTTTGGTTAGCCAAAACTTGATTAGCACAAAAGTAGATTATACCTCCATTTGGATTCACTATGTACAGAGAATCCTCTAGGCCAAACTCAAAATATGTAAGGAGGCAACTTTAGGCCAAGCTTAATTGAACAGTATTTAGGGTAGAAATACAACCACACATAGCATGGGATTCAATCAGGACAAATTGGAGTAAGCAGAGAGACAGAACTGAAATTGAACCATCAACTAGTGAACTCACCAGAGTCCTCAACCAAGAATGGTCATTGAGTTTATAGAGTATGGCCAAATATTTTGGTTGGGGATAAGTAGACTTGCTTGTCAGACTTAGAGAGAAGTGAAAGGAAATAAATTATCTATTTATTCATGTAAATTATTGACACCAAATACGTTGCTTCTAGTTGATCATAGACCTCATACCCTAATTTGCAATTTAAATGTACTTCTTCATAGTGAGTTTGCTTGCAACTACAGAGCAAGCAGAAATAAATGTTCTTTTCAAAGTGACTATAACTGTTTTGAAACTCATGAAGGGTTTTACTGACTTGACAAATTACAAACAAAAATCAAAGGAGACTTTTCTTTATCAAGTAACTCGTTCTACCTCTCGCTGACAATCAGCTGGGCATGAAAATATATATTGCTTTCATCATGTATGTACCACCCAGTGCACAAATTCTGCAATACTCAGCATACTTTACAAGTTGTCCACCTCTAGCCTTTCACAAGTAAGTAGAATAAGAAAGTATTTTTTTAAGAGATTATGAAATTGTTCTAAATCGAGGCTTAAACTATGAACTGTGTACAATGTTAAGTGGGAATTACTATTTTTGTAATTGTTTTAAAATTTTTGAAGATGAAGAATAATTTAACATTTTAAGGTTTTAACTGTAATTTGTCATTTTGTGGGTAGCATAAATTGCATTATATTATGCCCTACTTTTAAGTCATATTTTCTTTGGAGATACATAGTATTTCATCATTAACATAATATCAGCTTGCTGATTTATATCTTTTTTCACCTTGCAGTTTTCTAATCATTTTCATATTCATTCACCATGTATTTCTGAATTATATATTATATGAAAAATCAAGAAATATTTTAAATATTAAGACTGTTCTTAAGCAATACTAAAAATATGTGAATCTTTATTGAGTCACTAAGTTGGCCTCAGGTTTTACTATATTTCAAGGTTGAAAGCCATCAAGGTAAAGAGATAAATACAAATAAAGTTTTACAGAAGTTTAAAAATTAATCTTACCTAGGGAAAAGGCAATGTGTAGGATATGACTTTAGAGTTAAGCCCTAAATAAGAGACAGGGTTTTGCTATGTAAATGAGTTAGGAAAATATCTTGGGCACAGATTTCGGAGCAAGGCAAAGTGATACAAATTTGTATTATGTATATGAGGAACAACAGGAATCTCAAGACCATTGTAGGAATTAATATAACCTGGGTTAATAATGCAATAAAGGGCCTTATGTTAAAATTGGACTTTATTTCATGGGCAGTTAGGGAGGTGATGAAAAATTGTAAGTATATAAATAACACTCAAACATATGCTTTAGGAAAAGTAATTCAAAAAGGAAAAATTTGAAATAGGCAGATTAGGAAGCTTTCTCAACAATGTAGTGAGAAGTATTAGGACCTGGACTAGGGCATTAGTTATGGGATTGGAAGTGAGGGAGATTATGTTAGCACTTATAAAGAGATAGATTCAATGGAATTTCACTACTGATAAGCTTTGGGAGGGAAGAAAAGAAAAATTTAATGATAATAACGTTTTTTCAGACTGGCTGCTAGAAGAATATTAATATTCTTAATAACAATAAAAAAAGAAAAGCAAAAGAGCTTGGAGAGGAAAGGCAAGTTTAATTTTAGATAAATTTAAGTCAAACTGCTAGTAGCGTATAAAGGTAGCATCACATAGGTGATTCTAGAAGTACAACCAGAGCTCCAGACAATGATACGCTGGAGATGTATTGGGTGCCCTCTGCATGGGGTAACTGAGCTTGTCATGATGATGTAAGGTACATTTACATCTGAATTTGTAGGGGGAAAGAACAAGGAGAATCAAAGGTAAAAGCAGACTAAAATAACCAGTAACTGCAGGAAAAAAAAAAAAAACCTTTCAATAGCAAGGTGGTGGTCATGGGATCTGTCAGGCACATAATTATTGATAATTTTCAATAGAGAATTTTCAGGGTAGTGACGCTCATAAAAGCTAAAGAGTGACAGACTGAATGAGGAAAGAGGAAGTGAAGTATATGAGCAATGACGATGAAGATAGTTGGCTGTGAATAAAAAATAGAATAGTAACTGGTGTTTTTACTTAACCTGTCTCCATCTCTCATTTAATCTCAGAGGTAATGTTTCTCCTCTTCAAGACCAGTTTCTCCAATTTTTTCTTCCTAATCAGTCATCCATCCTATTTTGTGGCATTTTCTCTTTTTGTTACTGGGATTGTTCCTCATCTTGGAAGTGTTTTTTCTCATTTTCGAAATTACTTCTTTTTTTTTTTTTTATTTGCACCCCTCTCTCTGTCTCTCTGTCTTTCTACCATTTTACCTCCTTCCCATGCTAGCCAGCCTTCTAGATTCCTAACACTGCCTTGCCTCTGGCCTTCCACAGGGACTAAGCTCCTGTCCCTTCCATGCCACTGAAACTCCACCCAATGCTGACGACATCATCATTGCTACGCCAATAGAATCATTCCATTCTCATGTTACTAGATTTCTCAGTTGCGTTTGTCACTTTGTCTCTACTCCAAACTTCTCTGTTGTTGGGCCACCATGACAATATAGTCTCTTGGTTCTCTCTGTATGGCTAGCCTTTATTTCTGGACTTTTTTTGTTCATCTTTTGCTTCTTAATTGTTAGTGTTCCTCATAATTCATTATTAATTGTCTGAACTCATTCTATACTCTTTCATTTTGAGATATATCCACTCTCAAGGTTGAAACTCTGTCCTATATCATGAAGTTTTTTCAATCCTGTGTCCCCATCTCAGAAATTTTTTATGAATTTCAGGCTTGTATGTTCAACTGTCCAATAAATACCTTCAAATTCACCTTCACAATAGCTCATGCATGCTGGGCTTAATACCTAGGTGATGGGTTGATAGGCACAGCAAACCACCATGGCACATGTTTATCTATGTAACAAACCTGCACTTCCTGCACTTGTACCCCGGAATTAAAAATAAAAATTAACAAAAAAAAAAATCTACCTTCACCTTCAAACTATCTTAACCTGAACTTCTCATTTGCTTTTTCCAACTTACTGTTTCTTGGGAATATTTTCTCCTATTTGCAGCCATTACTACGATACTAAGTCAGGCCTTCATTGTCTTCTACCAGAACCACTGAAATAACTTCATACTGCCCTCATGATTTTATTTTTATTTCACTAATATTCATCCCAACAGCCACAATAATTTAGTAAAACCATAAAACTGAATAAACCACTCCAGATTTAGTACTCTGTTCTCTAGTTTTCCATAAGATAAAATCCAAGCTTGTTAAAATGGCATATAGAGTCCCCCCAAGAACAGGTTCCTATATTCTTTTCCAACTTCATCTTTAGGCATGCCTTGTTTTCTATGCTACAACAATCCCATAATGCTACGTTCGTAATTCCGAGTATGTTAGAAAACTCTAGGAAGACTGGAGCAGAAAGTGATGGCCTTGTGAACAGATTGAGTAGTTAACGTCTTCTGAGAACTGATGAGAAACCTCTCTTTCCTCTTTCCACCATAATATATATCCAGAGACCAAATTGATGCATGTTTTTCTTTCATAATTAGTGATTTATTCCAATGTTTCAGTCAATGACATCTCCAGCCAGTACCTGTAAAATGTGAATAGATCATGGGAAGTTCTTGTATTTCTGGCAGTATCTTATATCTTTGGAAATAATAACATTCTATCTTTGGAAATAATAATTCATCATGCTGTGCCTGTGGGTTTACATCTCGGAAGTAGTATGTGTCATATGAGAGACACTTCAAACTGCACAATATTTTCTTACCATTCTTCACTTCCTCACCACTATTCTAGCATACTTCTCCTCCAGTAAGTCTCACTTCTCCATTTAAAACTACCTACTAATAAAAGGCATACATCAGAGCCTCCATAGGTGACATGGGAAAAAAAGGGAGAGCTGTCAATTGTATTGGAGAATTGGGTCCTGAAGGAAAATTGTAGGGAATAATAATGAAATATAACCATGATGGAGGCAAATCCTTTTAAATAAAATACAAAAAAAAAGTAGCCACAAAAAAAGATTGATAAATTGAATTTAATTAACATTAAAACTCCTGTTAATGTAAACCGGAGTAAAAAATGTAAGTGGGAAAAGACATTTACAGCATATATATATATATATATATATATATAGAGAGAGAGAGAGAGAGAGAGAGATCTGTGTGTGTGTGTGTGTGTGTGTGTGTGTGTGTATCTTTAAAAAGACTCATTTAGAATATTACAAATGCATACAAATCAATTTAAAAAACATATAGAAATTAGGCAAAAATCTTAAAGAGGCACTATTGGTATTTCAGTTATCAAGAATAACTGAAATTAAAGCCAAAATGTGATACTACAACATAGAAAAACTGATATTTTTCTAAGAGACGATATTAGGATATGTGCAATTTAAAAGAAAAAAATATTATTTTATTTATTTTTTGTTACAGTGTAAGGGAAAGATATGAATTAAATTAGTCCATCCTTTCCCTACTTAGGTTTCCTGTGTTTCCAGAATACAATTGCTAGTGCCTGCAATTGTGGAGAAGTTTTAGCCATTATCTCTTCAAATATTGCTTCTTCCTCACACTCTCTAATTTTTATAAGTTCAATTAGATTTATGTTAAGATGAGCTATATCTTCTATGCCTGTTAACCTCTTGAATATTGTCCATCTTTTTGTTTCTCTGGGATGAATTCCAGGCTATTTCTTCAGATTGGTATTTCTAGTTTGATCTTTACTCCTTACTTAAGTCTAACTTATCTATGAACAATTTTAATTTTTTTGCAGAAATTTTCTTTATTTTTCAAATTTAATTTGCCTTTTAAGGAAAATGTATTACAGCCCTAAAATAAGATTAGATGAATAAATAGGAGTTACCTGTGAAAGTGAGATGATTGTGTTTTAGGCAGAGGTAAATAAAATAATAACAGCTTCTATTTACTGAGTTATGTGGTGCCACCAGGCTGATTTCCTCAAATTGTTTTCACTTAGACCTTGAAACGGCCCTTGTAGCATTATCTATGCTTTTAACATAAAGAGTAAGACTCCAGGTAAACTAATGTGCACTCAAGTTGCAGTAATTCAGTGGCAAAACTGGATTGGACCAAAATAATCATTGCTCTTTCTTCTAGGACATATACCCCTTAGAATAACCAGAATTGTGGTTGCCCTTCAAGGGAATTTAATAATTCCAGGATAATCTGGACAGTTCCTTTCTGATTATAACTCATTTCTGGAAGGTCATCTCAGGAGTTTCTTGGGACTCGTGTCTTTATTTCAACATTGAAGGCCAACTTGCTTCACCCTTCCCTCTGTCCTAACCCTAATACTGACTGTGATATAACAAAAATGGCAAAATAAAGAGCATAGCATTCATTGGCATTTACCCTATAATATCTTGTGTTACATAAGATTTCTCTACAGGTGTGATTTGTGAGGTTTATGTGTATTTATTTACTTTTTAGTTTAACACCTTCCTTGCTTCTTAGTAATATGGTTTGCTTTATTTTGGGGTCATACTTGAGTAAAATAATAGGTAACTTTCCTGGAAATATAGGGTATTTTTTTCTAACCAGCGCATAGTCAGTTTTTTTGGATATCTTTTTTTTTTTCAACAGATGTCATTAAAGGTGAAATTCATTTCCTTCTCTCCCTTCCTCCCTCCATCCTTTTTTCTTTCCTAATTACATTGTCTTTTTAAAAAGATCAGGACCAGTTACCTTATAAACATTTTGATTGGTCTGATTATCTCTTCATAATATGGTTTAACATGTTCTATACTTCTGGTATTTGATTAAACTGAAAGCTGTATATGGCTTAGATAAACTTCAGTTGGATACTTTGGAAAGAATACTTTAGAGACGATACTGTATTTGCCACATGGTGTGTCATCAGAAAGCACAGGATGCCTGGATGTCCTGATACGAATAAATGTTTCTAAGTTGCATCAATGGGTTAAGTTGGCTACAGACATATTTCTTCATTTTAAAGTTGTGTTTTTCCCCCTGCAGTTCTATGTAATATAACACTTGGGTGCAATAGCAATAGTCAGTTGCCTCATCCATCTTTCTTCTAATGGTCGCTAGTGAACTCTTAAGATTCTTGCTTGAGTCAATTATTTCAATGGTGTGCACCAATTCTGAGTGAGTAATTTGTACTGTTCTACTTTTTGACTGTCAACCACTGTAAATAGGCAAACAGTGAATATTTCTAAGAGCTATTGCTCTTAGAGAAAGGGGTACAGCACCCAAATAATCCTCTTTTGGTTACTGGTGATTTGGGATGATTTCATTTAGTATTTAAATGAATCTCAAGCATGACTAAACTATTCTTTCAGTTGATTATTCCATGTTAAGCTTGAATTTAAAGGAGCATCTTGTTGACATTTACAAGACACCAAGTGTCTCCAGCAATAACCTGGAATGTAAGTAGATTAATCACAGTCCTGTCAAGTGGAATTCTACATAGAGCTTGTTTATCAAAGCAGAGTATAAACGAATAAAGCAGATACCGATTGTAGAAATGTAGAAAGAAGAATGCAAGGGATTATTACTTTTTTCTGTAATTCTTTAGATATAAAATCTGATTTCAATTGGATTATAGAGAAATGAAAAATATTTAAGAAGCTTTAAAATAACTTATGTAGAAAAAAGAGTTAGTATTGAAAGAACTCCAAAATGCTTTTTTGAGCAGAAGCAGCATTTTTGTCTGGAACTCTTCTTTAAAACTTATCTTTGTTTGGCAGCTGTACCTGGAAAGAAGGAAGAGAAAACAACGAAGACAGTGGAGCAAGGTAAAAAAAAATGAAGGAGGTTGACATTATCTTCTTTAGAAAGACAACAACATGCGGAGGAAAGCACTGGATTCAGACAGGCGGAAGACGATAACCTTTAAGTCTATTGCTCTTTATCGCTGTCATTGCATGTTTTTCTGTGCCAGGGAGAATGTGAGACAGCAATCTGGGTTGGTCTTTCTTTTGTGTAACTAAACTCTGAGTATCAGCTCCAAATAGGAAAACTCCAGAAACTGTTCAATTACATCAGGAGACATGCTGAAGATTGTTGGGAATAAGGCAATGATCCAGGGGAACTGGTAGACATATTCCTATTTGATTTGTGGTTTTAACACCACCTTACTGATCATAATTTGAAAAATAAAGATGGCCCAATCCTATAATGCAAAAACGATTTCTGTTGCTTGAAGAAATATATGTAAAAGTTAAAATGAAGAAAACAACAGCAAAAGTAAGTTGAATATATTATGATGTATACTATATTATGACTTCAACTACTCATTCTCCCAAGAGGGCTGAAATTTCACTGTTATAAATCATAATGGTATAAAATAGTTATGCATTTTATTTGTATTTATGCAGCTATATCATAAATAGATCACTCCAGATTCTGCTTGAGAAAAATGCTACAGTACACTAAACTTAAAACATTTAAAGTGATGTTGTGGTTTCTCTTAGAGCTCAAGTGTGCTAATAATTTTAATTATCATTCCCCCCATGTCTTTGCTTTTATATAATAATATTATATTTATTATAATAAATTAAATTAGAACAAGCAATAATTTTGTCAAGAACAAAGTCTCAATGATTTCTTCAAATTTGAGCTACAGTTAAATTTCTGAAATCCTAATATCAGAAATTAAGAACTTTTCACATAAATATGTCAAGAAAATCCTTCAATCTCTCACATGTCAAATAAGTAAACTAAAATTAAGGATTTGGTTAAATAAAAAGATTAAAAAATTTATTTCCTAAAATCCCATAATAATTGCATTGAAAATGTTTTTCAATTTATTTTGGCTTCTGGGGGCTCTTAAAGTTTACAATTCAGTAGATATTTCTGTCAGTTTCTTTTTGAAGAACAGTAGAATTTTAGTTTGTGAAATATAAAGTGGGAGCACTGGATCCTAATTTCAATGTGTTCAGTTATGCATATTTCTGAATCTAAATTTATTCTTGAAAAAATAAAGATAATTGTCCCAGACTGGCCCACTGACAAGATGTTGTATAGGTCAAAAAAGAAAACATATGTGAAAGGATAGGAAAATTTATAAGCTTCTAGATAACCATATAACATATAATTAGGCATTTTTCCTTATGAAATTAATTTAAACACAGATGACATAAATTATCAAACTACTTTGATTTCATTGAGCTTTATAGCTTTCACCCTTCTAGTATAAAATTGCTGATTACTCGTGACATTCATAGATTGTTTTCATAGCCTCAGTATATCAAAAGAAGATTGATTAGAATATAAAACACCCACACTAATAATAATAGTACCTAACAGACAACTGATTTCAAAATGGATTTTTTTTTCTTCTTATCAGAATGACGGTGTCAATTTTATTAATTCTATAATATTTCCTCTAGTGGACAACAGACTGGAAATTGTTCCTAGAGATATGATCTTACTTCTTAAGATGATTTTATACTAATTTTCTACTAAAATTTTGTTTTCTCTTGTCAAAGCTTAGGCTCCTGGCTTGTGTGAAAAACATGAGGTTCTTTCAATGGCTATTTTTATATTGACTTAGTAAATCATTTCAATTTTAAAAATTGTATGACAATGGCCTCATATTTTTCAACCATAATGATCATAGGAAATAACATATTTGGATAGTTTGCATATTTTTATTACAGTATATCTATGACTAATAACTGATATGAAAATATTTTGTGCTTTTAATAAAGTAGTATCAGAAGAGATAATAATGACATTCTACACATTTTCTCATATTATTCTAATATTTATGCATAATGCTTTATGATGTATACTTTGCTTTCTTATATAGTTTTTAGTTATCTTCAAAAGTACAAATAATCTAATTATTAGTTTATAATTCATTGAAATATAGTTAAATCCTCTTTAAAAATTTATTTTTATTTGTTTGAACATGTGGACTTTATTTGGAAAAATTATATGATTTTTATAATTTTTAATAGAGTTTAAATACACTTTGTGATCTAAGTATAATTGTGTATATTGAATCTCTGGACTTAAATACTTATGGATATTTCAGTGTCCCAAAATTAAGTTGAAAGTTTAATTACAGAATAGTATAGTATTCCATCCTCTTAACAATTAAAAATCACTTCAAAAATCAGTTAAGTAGAAACACAACAAAAACATTTTTAGAAAATTAAATAAAATCTGATTGTGTGTTAACTATCAAAAATAAATTTTAACACAATTAGTAATCATTTTATTAAGTGTGAATTTGGAGAGTGTTGTCTTAAGTGTATCAGAGTTCACTTATTATAATAAAAGATTCAACTTTGCCTTAAATTAAGAAATACTTCAAAATTCATAAATAGGCTAATTGTGTCCACTTGAAGAGTTTCTTTCTTGGCTTTTGATGCTATTCTGTAAACAATGGTTCCCTATAATTGTAATAGTGTTTTAAGTTGTCACAACACCAGGCAAAACCCAAGTGCTATTACATGTTTTGTATATCTGTCACTGTCCTCATCCGCCTTATCAGATTCTGCTTTGTGTATGCTCTGGTCCTTTTAAAATCTGTGATGTGTACTGATTGTAGATTTATTCCATACTATCAAGTGAATGTTAATAATATCTAAGCATAATTATTTTCCTGAGAAAATTTTATCCATTTGAATATAATGAATGTGTATATTTCTTGGTGTATCAAAGTTATTTTAAAAAAGGGAGAAACAGTTTTCCATTTAAAATCAATGAAGTAAAACCGAAGGTTTAGTTAACACAGTTGTATTTAATTATTTGCTTAATATGTATTTATAAAATAACTTATTTGCACATGTTGACTAAGTCATGCTGTTGACCCTCAATAAATGTTAAATTATAATAACAATATTATAGATTCCTGTGAATTCTAAACATTTTGACAATACTTTGTGCTTTGGTTGTTTAATATTTATTGAGCGCCCACAACAGGCTAGGCGCTGGGGAATGGGTGGCGAGGGGCATGGCATGGGCTTCAGAGAGAAGATGGTCTATATGAAGGCAATGCATGAAAATGAGGATACTCTCCTTGTTGTGTATTTTACATATTTTCAAGAGAACAATTAGCAACTGAATTCTCCACTCCACTGTCTCACTTGCTCACATAATACATTTTACTTCTTCTTACTCTTATTTTACTTAATACTGTGAAAACAATTTATCCTTAAAATTATTTTATGTCATTAATAGGGAATTCCTTTCTAGTCTCTCCTGTCTTAACTCCTTCCTCTTACTCACTGCATTCCTTTAATGAGAGACAGATCTCAATCCTACTTGTTATAGCAGAATAATACATACTTAATGGAAGTTTGTATTGTTACATTAATTTCCTATAGAGGGCTACTTTCTGCCATGCAACATTTGATTCATGTGATTCACACATTGGTAGGATTGCCATTCAACATTAAAGAGAATTTCAGCTCTGAAAACAGGCAGTGTATGTCAATGATGTTTGTGATATTAGGAGGTGATGTTAAGAGGCATGTATGCATTAATTCTTTACCTTTTCCCCAAAAGTTAAAGTTCATTTATTATTGGTGATCTATCTTGTCTAATAAGCTAATGTGTAATTCCATCACTCTCATTTTATGTAGGATTTATGATAGGTACATACAGGTTACATACAGATATGATTGAATGCCCAAATTTTGTTTCCATGCAAGTGTTCTGCCTTTCAGTTATGAAAGTGAACCATTCCTGTGCCCGGTATAGCCTTCTGTGCTCACCTTTTTCCTTCTTTTTTCTTTTCCTTTTTTTTTTTTTTTTTAAGAAACTGGGTATTTTGCAGAGAAGCACACAAAAGCTACAAGATTACCCCCAGAATGCCTCCCTCCCACTGCCCTTGCACTTCATACTGTGACAACCACACTTACCCCCAAGGACCCTCAGTAACTCTTGGGTCAGAGGAACTGGTGGGTAGATAGGCTTCATTATGTTACCTGGCATTACCAATTATCAGACAGCATTCCCAGGAAGAATGCATCAGGCTTATGCTGCCTGCATTCTGCCCCTTCCAGGACTCATCATTGAAGTTTCTCAATGGCAATATCATCAATCTTTTAGGTTCTTAAAGTAACAAAATTTTTACATCAAATGTGTGCATTTGCTTCACCTCTCTTATAATTCTTAAACTTTCCTTCATTTAACTTCCGACAGCCTTCATGTAAAACTGAAGAATGCCAACACAAACCATTCTTAAGACCTGTCACAGCTAATTGTAAATATAAAGAAAATTATCATGTGAGCCCTGAATTTAATGACAGTGCACTTCAGATTTCTTTTGACAATATTTTACATAATTTATAGTAATTTAAAGCAATACAAATTAAGTATCCTTGATCCCTGTCTATATTTTAATATTAGGCTGAAGTTTCTTTAAAATATCCTTAAATGTGTAATGGGTCATTTTCATTCTCATTATAAGGAATTCTCTTAAAACTCTTTTTTTTCTTATATAGAATTGTGATTGCCATCACTAGGATTTGACATGCAAAAAATAACTGTTAAGCGTTTAAAGTAGATATTTGAAGTTTAAAATTTGATTCTCCAGAGGCAATCATCAACTTTATGTTCCTTTGACCTTCTAGACAATATTATATAAAGAAATCAGAAATGCATTGTAATTGTAACCATACGACACAGCAATAAAACCCTTTTTATGAGCTTAAGAAGATTACTGAGCTGCTAATCTTGTTTTTTATCTATTAATATTTACTTTCGCTCCTACTTTTACGCTGAGGCCAGAGGTGGGTTATATCTTTTTTTCCTTTAAGAATCTTTGATAGAAAATATA